CACACACACACACACACACACACATATATATATATATACATATATACATAAAACTAGAACTATATCCTGACCTCAGATTTAGTATCACTGATATGCTGTTATAGTTTTTTATTATCAATGATTAATCTTTGTTTATATATTTTTTGTTTTAATTTTTTTAAATTTTAGTTCAAGTTGAAGTAATTTTGTTGTTTTTATCTTAAAAAAAAAAAAATGTCTATATAGTTTTTATTCATTTTTATTTTCATTTTAGTTATTTAAGTGCATCAAGTTAAATAAAACAAAAACTAGAAATTTTGCCTCAGCAACCAGCTAAGATAAAATGTTATTTTATTTTAATGAAAGTTTTTAAAAATATACATTTTATTTTAGTTCTAGTTTTAGTTAACTTTACTAAACGTGCACAGTCAACCCTGCTGTAAAGATGAGCTGGTGCTGGCTGGTTTATTGCTGGTCTGGTGAACCAGCACAGCCGTATGAAACCTCTCTGGTGAAGCAGGTTAACCTAGTGAATCTTGTTGGTTAAGCTAGTTAAGAACTCTAATGGGTGCTCCAGCGTGTTGGCATCCCATGCTGGTGAGCAGCACTGTTGTTTTTCAGTGATAAAGTTCAGTCTCAGAAACCCGTCCGCTGTCTGTCTGCAGATGCCGGGATACATGCTGCCTCAGGAGAGACGAGACTGGAGGGAATACAGCGGCGATCAGCCTCATCCTCAGGCTCCTCACGCAGAGTTACCGTATGGCCAGTGTCCGTATCAACCCACGCGCTCCTTACCCTGGCACCCATCGGCCTGTGACAACGGTACCCGCCTCTCCAATAATACGCAGTGTCCAGTTCTGAGTGCATAACATTAAATTCATGCCATTTTCTCACATTTGGCAAACAGCTATGTATCTTAAGCAGTGTTGGGTTAAGTTACTTTTAAAAGTAATGCATTACAATATTGCGTTACTTCATAAAAAAGTAACTAATTACATTACTTAGTTACTTTTTATGGAAAGTAATGCATTACAATATTGCGTTACTTCATAAAAAAGTAACTAATTACATTACTTAGTTACTTTTTATGGAAAGTAATGCATTACAATATTGCGTTACTTCATAAAAAAGTAACTAATTACATTACTTAGTTACTTTTTATGGAAAGTAATGCATTACAATATTGCGTTACTTCATAAAAAAGTAACTAATTACATTACTTAGTTACTTTTTATGGAAAGTAATGCATTACAATATTGCGTTACTCTATAAAAAATAAGTAATTGCGTTACTTAGTTACTTTTTATGGAAAGTAATGCATTACAATATTGCGTTACTCCATAAAAAAGTAACTAATTGTGTTAACTAGTTAATTTTTAAGGAAAGTAATGCATTACAATATTGCGTTACTCCACAAAAAAGTAACTAATTGCGTTACTTAGTTACTTTTTATGGAAAGTAATGCATTGCAATATTCTATTACTCCACAAAAAAGTTACTAATTGCGTTACTTTTGTTACCTGGGCTGGACTTGCTTATTTGTTTTTTATTAACAAAAACCCAAAAGCTATATTTTTGGCAACTTTAAAGGCCCTTTCACAAAAGTGAGATGAATAAGCCTCAGGCTGAAGGAAGCGTCTCTGATTTCTCTCAATGCGGAGACAGAGGCGCTGTCAGTCAATAAATGGGAAAACAAAGTAACTGACGTTACTTATTTGGAAAAGTAACTCAGATATTTTCTTGTCAATTTAAAAGTAATGCATTATTTTACTAGTTACTTGAAAAGTAATCTGATTACATGCCTCGCATTACTTGTAATGCGTTACCCTCAACACTGATCTTAAGTAAGCCAAAATGATTACAGGCCATATTTAAAGGTTGTATACCATATTTAGCATATTAATGTCAGAGAAGCCAAAGCCTCGCATTACGTTACCCTCAACACTGATCTTAAGTAAGCCAAAATGATTACAGGCCATATTTAAAGGTTTTAAAGGTTG